TGTCTGAAGCCTACTTCCTTGTTCTAGTCTATAATTTAGAATCCTGTCTGAAATTACTTCTTTGTTCTAGCCTAATATTTAAATTCCTGCCTGAAATTACTTCTTTGTTCTAGCCTAGGATTTACATTCCTACCTGAGATTACTTCTTTGTTCTAGCCTAATGTCATATTCCTGCCTGAAGCCTAATTTCTTGTCCTTGGCCGATGTCATATTCCTGCCAAGCAGCCCACTTCCTTGTCCTTTGCCCATGTCAGGTTCTTGCCAAGTAGCCCCAAAGGCTCTCTGCCTCTCCCCTTTTTTATTTCATTAACAAGTCTGAGCCTGTCTTAGGTCATTCTGACAAGAATGCTTTCCTTACTTGTCACGGAATATGCATTATCAAAAGCAATGCACTTCTGTCTTAGGTTGGTAAGGCTCTGTGCAGAATCTTACCCATCTTTGGCTTGTCAGCCTGTTAATTTAATAACTCTGTCTGGGGGCCCATTTTCTGGGATTTTCTGGAACTTTCTAGAAATTCTCTCCACCCTCCCAGCCCTGGCAGCTGAAGATTTCTAGTCATTCTTCTGGTCCCCTGAGTCTTTTTCCTGTCTCTCCCCATACCTGATCTTACCTTCTCGTCCCCCACTCCCTCCCCTTTCCTACCCAGTTTCCCCCTTCCTCTGCCTCCTATGAATATTTTATTCATCCTTCTAAGTGTGATTTAAACATCTTCACTTGGGCCTTCCATTTGTTTAACTTCTTTCAGTCTGTGGGTGTACCATGGGTATTCTGTACTTTATGACTAATATCCATTTATCACTGTTTCCAGTTTCTGGCTATTGTGAATAAAGTTGCTAGGAACATAGTGGAGCATTTATTTTGCTTTATTTTATTTTATTTTATTTTATTTTATTTTATTTTATTTTATTTTATTTTAGAAATGGAAATCTTTCAGCAATGCCAGGGAAGTGAAGGAGTTATGAAACACTGAAACAATGGGGCAAAAGTTTGAGTTGCAATGTCCAGATTTAATTGTGAGAAGTATCACTATCACATACTTCTATAAACATCATCATTAATTATAGTTTTAATGATCATGTGTTTACCTCTTTAGAGATGGTGGGACCTGGGATTTGGGGTCCATAAATGCAACAGAGCAAAGTCTCTTGAAATAGACCATTTTATTCAGTGCACCTGACAGTTTATACTCTTACTCTTGCAAGATGTCACATTAGTATAGTGTACAATCACAAGGGTAAGTCACATGTGTAAAATATGTTTATTCATAGAGACATATAAGCAAACAACATAACAAGCAAATCAGTTGTAATAAATAATCTGACCTAACCTCACTCCAATCTACTATACTTGAGAAGTATACAAAAGCAAAATTTAAGAGTAATTCCTTGGTTTTATAGTAACTGATATATTGTTTTGTTTCTTGGAGTTTTCTCACAGTACTCAGAATTCTCTTAGACACCTCTATCCTTGTACTGTGTTCCAACATCTTCCTCTCTCTCTCTCTCTCTTTCTCTCTCTGTCTCTCTCTCTCTGTCTCTCTCTGTCTCTCTCTGTCTCTTTCTGTCTCTTTCTGTCTCTCTCTGTCTCTCTGTCTCTCTTTCAATGGTAAGATATCCAGAGTGGTTTTGATTTTATATGTTGTAGATAAATATAATTGTCATTTGATGCATGAGTATCATATAAGCAAACAAATTATAAACATAATGAACAATCTTAGAACAGTTAAAATATTGTGTACCATACTCTGCCATCAAAAACAGGGATCAAAACTATGTCCAGTACAATTGCTTACATTATTATATTGATCAGAAAAACCCAAAATAATAGATTGAAAGAAGAATTATATGATTATCTTGTAGAATATACTTGTCCGTTAGTAGAAAAATAAATATTATGATTCCTATGCAAATGTGAAGTGATATAAGTTAAACACAGTTCCCTTTTCAGATTAACGAATGAGTCCAGGCTGAAACAGAGTCCTCAGTAAAGATACCAGAAACTACATCCATCCAATCTACAAGTTGAAGCAAAAGAAGATAATATATACTAGGTATGGGAAAGAAAGTAGCATGGGGGATTGTTGGGGGCTGACTCTTAGCAGAAAGTGGCTATCATCTTTACAGCCATCTCAAGCCATATACCCTGACAAGAGACTTGTTTTCAACAGCCTGCAATAGCTCAGCACACTCTGATAAACATCTTGTTACACTGTTTAGTTCCCCCAGCTACAAGGTGCTCCTGGAATCTATGGCTACAAGGCACGTGACGTAGTGGCTTCAGTTGAGCTTGTCCACAAGGGCAAGTCACGCGGTAAAGGGTATAAATACCCAGGATTTCCTTTCTATTGAGAAGGTGGGAGGTGTCAGGAGACTGAAGGAGTGAGGAGAATATAGAAGAAGAGAGGAGAATAAAGAAGAGACTTGAAGAGACTCCACCGGACTCTGTCTTGTATCTACCTTTTGCGTCTCTCGCCCCTTTTCCGCCCTTCTTCCGTCCCCACTCTCTCTCTTGCTAGACCCTGACCAGCAGACCGGAGTAGCTGAACCGGCCGGCCTTTACAAAGTAGCAGAACCGGCCATTAAAAAAGAAACGGCGGTTACAGGGGATATCTCTGAATCTAATTTCTTCCTTCTTGTTTATTCTTTAAATGTGACCACTAACAATCTGCAACCAACCTCCCTGAATGACCAAGAACTGAGCTTATCAGGGTTCCAGCATTTGTAGACCCTGTGAAAAGTTCCCAGAATTCCAAACACCACATAATCACAGAAACAATCTGGAGCTGTCAAAGCTATGCCTCTGCTAAAGCATGAAGCAAATGATAGTTAGCAACTGTGGATGGCTCTCATTTCAAGCTATTATTTAGTTTTTTTTTCTGATCAATATAATAATGTAACCAATAAATATACTCAGAGACACTCACCACAGAGAACATGAATATGGCTTTAGTTTCAGTAGAGAGGACATGGACCTAGATAAAGCTTTCAGATGCAGTTGGGATCACACACATCAGTGTGGCACCATGTTGAAGAGTAGACCACAGACATCCCCCACACCTTTGGTGGCAAAAAGGGACACAGACATCAACACAGACCCAGCAGCAGTAAGACCATGGACACAGACATGGCCCTCTGTGGCATTAGGTTTTCCTTATTTTAGTTTTGCTAAAGGTTTGATATTCTTGTTAATCTTTTCAAAATATCATTTATTTTATTTCTTTTTAATACAGACGTTTGTAGTAACTTGGTCAAGAGCCTGTTCATATTTAGGTGGACCAGGAAGCTGAATGCTCAGGGCAGATCCAGTAGGGAATTCTATCGACAGCCATGTCTTCTAGTGAGGTCCAGTGCAAAAACTACCTCCAGATAGTGAACCCCAATCCTGTGTAGAATATTTTGTATTCTGACAATAACACCAAAGAAACCAGAAGAGAGTACATACACAAACACACAAACACCACATTGACTAACTTATAGGAATGCACACAGAAACATATGCACACAGCCACACACATAGAGAGAGACATGACCACATATACACAATGACACTAGTTACACAGAGTAACTTACATATATCACTATAGGTATATACTCAAAACATGTACACTGATACAAATGCACATAGAGAAACACACAGGAACAAGTTAACACAAACAGGCAGAGATACCAACACACAGGCATATGCACACATGAACACATAAATACAAATACTTATATGCAATCTGTAGTGAGAATTTTGATTTCTTAAAAAAAAACCCAGGTATGTTATGTGAATATTTTTGTTTTAATCCCAGGTGTGGGATATGGGGCTACATCAGATTGTTCACAGCCACTAACTATGTCTCATGCTCTATGAGGGGCAGAATTTTTGCCAGCTGCAGATACTTTATGTTTGGAATTCTGAGGCGCTGGAGAGTGTATTAATGGCAGTGCCTCAAGAAGGGCTAGGGGCCCTCTGAAGAAGGAGGCTGCTTCTCTCCCTGCTGCTGCTGTTTCCTGGTGCTGAAGTTTGTCACATAGTCATGAGCAGAGACAAAAAGATAAAACTGGATATCCTGATGATGAAGATTAGACTTGCCCCTAGGAACTCAATGCCCATAATCAGCAAGAAGTATCTAAAGATATCTATACCCCTTTTCTTTATAACCTTCTTTCTCTCCTACCTAGTGTTGAGGGGTTGGAAGGAATCAGGGTGGAATAAGTGTTGGGAGGGTGGAATAAAGCAGACCAAATTAGCACCTACAGCAATCACTTCCAGCTCCACACACACACCACTACACATGTGCACAGTAGCAGGACAATTTTGTGATGTGGCACAGAACCGAAGAGAATTGGTGTGGCATAGAATGAAAGAGAAGTGAGAAGGTGGACTCCCAAGGTACTTTGTTCATGAGGCCTGACCCCCAACCTCTCCTGGGGCTGGAAAGAGGGAAGGCAGCTGCGCTATGAAAAGACATATTGGGATTTAGGTGCATGTAGGGCTGAGCTACTAGCTTGGTAGAGATTGGCTGTGAGTGTGTGGGAGAGTAAGGGAGGTTGGCAGCATTCTCAGGAGCATGGGAAGCAGGAGGAAAAAGTGGAGACACAGGCTAGGGTACTGACGGGGACACCATAGCTCAGTCATCAGAGGGTCATGGCTGAAGAATACACTTCTGTGTCTATAACTTTGGGCTGGAGATGATTATGTGGATATTATTGGAGGTGAGGTTCTAAAATGGAAGGGGAAATGTGATATTTTTTTTGGTGGGAATATAGGCAGGCATGCTGAGGGTAAGAGCACAGAAGTCCTTGTTATCTTCCTGGCTTTGGGCTTTCAGGGGTCACCACCCACTTTGATAACATTCTCTCTCCTGACAATGTTCCATGTGAATGAATGAAAGCAAAGGCATGTGACCAACTGCAGAAATTATCACCACCTATTCATGAGGTCCAAAGAAAACAGTGCAACCAGTGTATAGTATGGATTTGGGCTCTGTGCAGATGGGGGATCACTCAGTGTAGTATATCCATGCTGCAGGGAATCCAGGAGCACAGAGGCACCATGGTGACCGTGCAGATTTTGCTGCTGACTGTGGTTTTGATCTTGCCCTCTGTGGAGGGTTTGTTCTTTAGGAATCCTCAGTACAGTGTCACTCTTGACCAGGTGAGAGATCTGGGCAGACTGTGTGTGATCTGGGTTTTCATGGATTGGATGAGAGACTCAGTGATGTTTCTGAAAGCTTCAGATGGACATCAGTGAGGTGCCCTCTTATGAGTTACTGTCTGTCCTTCATCATGGTTTTTCTTGATATCTGAGAGTAGAGGTAACCAGAGGTCAAGAGATAGTTTATGGGAGCATGAGTCTCATTAGTCTGCCACAGAGAATCTCCTTTCTCACCTTATGGTCTTCTAAAGAAATTTCAATTCCACAGAAATGACTCTGTTCGGAAGTTCTATTTTGCAATGAAAGACTCATGCAGGATGAAGTGCACAATGTAGGACCACTCTTTTCAGATAGATGAGCACTGCTGGGTATGAGGAAGGGGTGCTTGGAGGGATAGACTTCCTAAGACGTTTTGATGTTTAAGTTGGTGGTGTGATTTGAGAAAATAAGAGATTCTGGAGAAGGTCAGCCTTCCTTCCAAACCATGGCAGTGATGAATGAAGATGCTCACTGTGGCTATCTGGTCTTTCATGGCCTTCTGGAATCTCAGTCAATCTTGAAGCAAACATACTCCATGGTTGAAACTGGTATCCAGGTGTCCCGTCTCCTTCTAATGATAATTCCAACTCATCCTGTCCCAGAAGCCTCTCAAAAGTGATACTAAGTTCTTTTTCCTCTCAGTCTTACAATAAAGATAGTTGGCAGTTCCTGATCATGCTTGTCCTCTTGGTGATTTTTCTCAGGTGTTTATGTGTGACCTTTGCAGAATAATCTTGGCCCAGAGTCTCTGTCTTCCACCCAAATTTCTATCTTAGCCTGTCTGGATTTGCCTTGACAGAGAAGGGCCATCCATTACCATGAACATATCATGTCCCTCTCGATGGGACAGAGATCCTACCCTAGATTCTTCTTTCATCTCCTCCCATTTCAGTTTCTGCCTGGAATTTCATTGTTTGGCTTACCCTTTCTGTGCTTTCCCTCTCAAGGTGGTTTTCTTCTTTAGCTTCTAGGAAAATGGTATATAACTTGCTGGGTGGGAAACCTGCCTATTCCTGCAAAGAAGAAGTTTACCCCACTGCCTCCCTTCATTTTTGTCAAAAATGTAATTGGCAAGTTGGAGTTTAGGATGAACATCTCGTGAGTATCTGCCATTAGGCAGCCCTTTCTGCTCTTGGCTCTATGGATTTCCCACCCTCACCACAACCATGTTCCTGACCTCAGCTAGGCACTCCATGTCAACATGGAATCCTCTTGTACCATCTGGGAAATGTATCAGGAGATTTCTGTAAGCACAGGAGAAATGTTCCCAGAGCACTGGCTGCAAATATAAGGTCCAGTGCATCACCTGATGTTCTCCTATGACACTCTGTGGAGGACTGAAACTTTCCTTCCCAGTGCTGCTTGCTCCCCAGAGCCATAGTAGATGCTGTGCCTATTTGGGCCCTCATGATTTCACTTCTTTGCATGTTCAGTGAGGATCCAGGAGTAAGGAGGGAAGGTCTAGGACTCTGTATTCTAGCAGAGCACATTTGGAAACACATTAGCATAATTAGGTCAGTCCAGGCCTCTGTGAGAAAATGGCCTGAATTGGCAGGAAGCGTGTCCAAAACTGGGAATATGGGCAGGCCTTCATATAGATATCATTTCTTTTTGGCCTTCTCACCTACCATGATGTGGACTATACCAGGAGTTGACACAGGGATTGTGGCAAGCCATATACTAATGCTTGCCACAAGCTACTATATGTATTAGATGAAAGATCTGGGGTCAATTCAATGTATAGCCTCATAGATGGCAAAAGGGGAAGGCAGAGCTGGTGTTAGGGAAAGAGCCATGCTTTTGTTCTTTGTTACAGAAAACCCATCGGTTGTGTTCAGTACAAGGTATATATGGATGAAGATAAATATCATTCTAATATCTTCTACATCTGTGAGTGCTCAGGTTTCAGAGTCTTTATTTTCTGTGGCCTTCAAAAAGAGATTTGAAGACCACATAGCTCATTTTCTTCCTCAGGGCCAAAGTTCTCAGTCATCTTTGCATTCATTGGTGGGACGGACTTTGCTATTGCTACCCATGTAGGCAGATTCAACACTGAAATGGAAAAGGTGACAATGCTCATGGGTGAGTCTCACCCTGCCTAAGAGTTGGACTTGGATTCTTTAAGCAGTGTCTATAGAGTGGGTGACTATCTCCTGTCTAGTTTTCTAGTCTCCATCTGGGGGGTTTTCCTGAGATGACTGAAGTCTCTGAGAGAGTGTTTTAAAAGCTCTTGGTATATTTATCCTCAGCCTGTCCATTGTGTACAAGGCTCACAATCACTCCTCATCCACTGAGCCTCAGCATCTCCCTTCCCTTCTTAGTCAGCCTTCCTCTCAGTCCTGTTCCAGGAAGGGATTTGGTTGGAATCATATCTTACTGAGAACATGGGAAAATATTTGGAGACAATGTGCTGTTATCATGTCAGCAAGGCCTTCTTGGACATCCAGATGTTGGGGATTAGAGTCCTACTCAACACCTGTTGTATGAAATCTGACCCCATCCCTTTACCAGACAGGTCTGGGGTACTGAAGTCCACAGCTATCATCATAACAAAAGATAAGTGAGAGACAAGTAGGTGAATAAAGGTTCTAAGGACAGTTTTGGCCAATGTTAAGAAGAGGAAAATATTTCAGTGCTCTCTGTCCTTCCTTGCAACCATTTAGAACTTAATGAGAAGCTTGAGTAAGGGTTGGGATAACTCAGTGGTTAAGAGTTCTTGCTTGACATGAGTGAAGACCCGAATTAATGTCACAAGAGCTCACATAAATATCTGGGCATAACTAACTGTTCCTGTAACTTTTTCATTGTGGAAGAGACAGTGTCTCCTCAGAGCTGGCTGTTCAGACAACATAACCACAATGATAAACTTCCAGGTCAATGAGAGACTGTGTCTTAAAGCAATGTGGAGAGCTCTAGAGGAAGAGGATTAACATCCTGCTCTGGTCACCATGGTTATAAATAGACACACCGAACTCATTCTCTCTCTCTCTCTCTCTCTCTCTCTCTCTCTCTCTCTCTCTCTCTCTCTGGATATGAAAGCAAAACCAGAATTTTCATTTCCTGAGAGACAGTTTTTAGTTACATACTGGGAAAGGTAGGTCCTAATAAAATGTCCCATGCTATCTCTGTTTTCACAGGGGAGTTCTGAACACTGAGGTAGACAAGAGGGTACCTGGGTCCAAAGTTACTAATGCTAGGTGGAGATCTGACCTCCACTTGTCACCATCACCAAGCATCTAGAGTCACAATGTTAGCAGCATAATTCTAGCCTTTGTTTGTATTCTCCAGTACCTCTACTCACATGATTCTTTTGAACTTTGGGTTGCACTATGCTGCCCCCCTCTCTCTAGGTCAACCTGAAGCATTCAGCCAGTAGTTTCTACACTCATGAGAATTCAACAATGGCCTAGGATGTCTCTAAGCATAGGCATGATGACTCTAGACAGAAACATCTATTGCTGTCCACTGGCCCCATCCTCAGATATTGATCAAGGACTCCAGTGGTTATGGTGCTGACCAGAAGTTTTAGGAATCTCTAGGTTACTCTCCTATTTCAATGTACCTACATCCTAGAGACCCCACATAGATGGTCTTGTTTCAATATGTGTTTTTGAGAAGGTGATGGGTTACTGAGGGAAATGTTGGAAGACAAGGCCCTGTTGGCAGGTGCTTAATTATGACAGAGCTGGCCCAGTCAGTTTTGGACTCCTCTCCTTCTTACCTCAAGCTTCCGTCCAACTTAACACTTCTATCTAGGATGTAATATAGAAGGTTGGTTCAGGGTGCCTATGGACAAAGGTTGTTCTTTGGATGAGCTTGTTTGGGCTGTGTATGATTGTCTGCATATGATTTCTGCCATCTTGGGATGAATGACTCATGTGTTCAGGTACTTGTCATAAACAGGAAGTAAACATAATTTCCTCTTCACTTCTACATGGCCTGTCTCCTGATATTTCAAAGCATAGAAAGATTATCTCAGCCAGAGATAATCTTTCTATGCTTTGAAATATCATGCCCCAGAAAAATCCCTGAATGACCTGGGAGTGAATCATCTATAATAAGATTCTTTTCTACCCTCTTGTTTCATACCCATGTGGCCTGCAGGTCGAAATATGGCACCAAGGCCAACAGTGCTATTGGATTTTGAGGATTTTGTAGAAAGCCTACTATTGAACAAAATAGACATCATCAACCCTGGATGTGATGGTAATGAGATAGAGATTTTGCTTCTTTCTAATTTTTTTATTCATGAGTTTCCTGTAAGACAACCACACTACACACACCTGTCCCAGACACATGTATTGTTCTCTGTTTGTAAATAGATTCCTGTGAGTTGTCCAGACAAACCTAGTGAATGGAGAAAGTACCACAGAATCTGCATAGGAACTGTGTTCTGCCACTCCTTCACTCATTCCCTGTTTCTGTAGAAAGAACGCCAGCTGTCAAGAGAAGACATGTCCAAATCCACATTTTCTTCCCCCCCAAAGCCTCAGCTTTCAGTAAAAATGGTAAATATTCCTTGTTTTGTGTTTGACATCTAATCAAATGGTGCCTGATTTTGTGATACTTGGGTCGGATACCATCAGGTACACAGGCCTGACCTTGACCATCAGCACTCATGGGTCCATACATAGGCAACACGTCATGGCACAGAGGGTCACAGAGCTCGTCTTTGCCAGCCAGGTCATCTTGAGGGAGGGACAGGGTAGGAGCATGCGTGGTGGCTAGTGAGGGAAGAAGACGGTCAGTAGAGTCACAGGCAAGCAGAGGTGGGTTTGCAAGCGTGTTTCAGTGCAAGAACCTAGAGCCTCTGTATATCCTTCACGTTCTGGTGCCTACTGTTGGATGCCCTGGTGTGAATGCCATGGAGGAGGGTGGGGGTGTTCTCTTTGAATGTGAAAGGCTGGGCTTACAGGCAAGGCCTTTACTATCTCTATCAATTAGGCAACAAGAGACACAGGAAGTCCAAAAATGGAGGAAGTAAACACAAACATGCTTCCTCCAAGCCCAGATAAAAAGAAGGGAGAATGTACCTTATATCTTCACTGAAGTTCCATCAAATCATGCTTTTCTTTTTCGTGCCAGCAGACTTTTCTTGGGGACAATTATCTTCTTACAAATTGCAGACCTTCCCCTTTTTTGCTGTCTCCCCAAATCTGTGGAAGCAGGAGTATTTAGTGTAATCACTCAGGTTAGCCTAGGGTTGGCCTCTGCATGAGGTTCCTGAAGGCCAGGCTGTTGTAGTAATTATTGAAATCCTGGCCTGGGATTTCTACCTTTGGTTATTGAATTCCCAGATTAAGAAATACAGGCAACCTTTATATTTGCAATAACCCTTAAACAACACAAGAACTAAGCAGCTGCTTACTATCAATGCTATTAGAATTTCCTATCGATAACCCTGAGTTATTACTTACTATTTACCATGTTTCACCTGGGCTGCTCTTTTAACTCCAATTGGCCAGCCTTCAGGGCCACCTTCCTATGGCTTACCTAACCCATGGCCACTTCTCCCTCTTCTTCCTGCAATCTTCTTCCCCTCATCATTCTCCACTAATCCCAAGCCCACGATGTCTAAATCCCACCTATGTCTTTTCTTCTTAGCTATTTACTAATCAGAAATAACTTGGGGGCAGGGTCACTCAGAGTCTTTCATGTGTACTCTCATCTCTGGGGCAACCAGTCTTTGGGGCCCCAAATTAGCACTAGAATGTAGACACATTAGGCCAACCCACTACACAAGGCTACTATGATCGTGCTATGTGTGAAGTGAAAGTAAGCCCATCTGGTCCCTGGGCCTTATGTATGCCAGTCATGGAAACAGTGTGTGTCAATCAGGCACAGTGGATGTGCACCCTGAGGAAGAAATGGAAGGGAGAGTCTCAGAGGATACAGCCATAGCTCAGGTTGAACATATTAAAGGAGCAGGATGTAAGATGGATCCTTTACATGGATGCCACAAATAGGGTACTGCCCCGGCCTGCGGGGACTCGACAAGACCCTAGGGAAGGGGAGGGGGAAAGATGGGACAAAAGACACAAGAAAGAAACACAAGTCTGAATGTCTGATCAACTGGTTAAACTTTATTGTTCGGGTTTCTGTTATAAAGGCAGGCAGGCAGGAGGGTCATCTAGCAGTCAGGGTCGAGGGTCATCCTGTAATTGCAAAGTTCTCTAAGCCCACAAGAATTCCTAGCCCAAATTACTTATCTAAATATTTTCTCACAAGTAAGATGGCAATTAAAACATTTCTCAGTTCGAGTTGCTTATCTGATTAATAATTTTTCCCTGGCAGGAGGGCAATAAAGTATTCCTTAACTCAGGCTGTTTGCTTAAGTGACATTTGCTCTCAGGCAGAAGGGAGTCTTGGCACCCAGCAGGGTACATGTTTTATCATCTAGCTGTCCTGCATAGAGCTTCTGGGATAGGCTGGAGGCAGAGTGATCAGGAGCCTCTGAGTCCCTGTTGTGTGGATAGACAAACATCATCTCAGTCCTGAGTGTCAAACATAACAGAACAATGTATAGCACTGAAAGCCAACTCAGTCAACCAAAAGTAATGTGATTATGTAATTATCAAGGGTGAGAGGTTGCTTACAGGAACATAGGCAACAGGAACATAGGCAACCCGTAAGCAGCCATGCCACTGAAAAGCCTCTTTCTAGCATGGATGACAATTTCCACAGCTGTGTAGTTAGCTGTCCCTTAGTTAACCTGTTAAATATTCCAAAATGAGACAATGTGTATTTGGTATAGTTACCTGCATCTTATAGGAAATCCAGTAGGGAGTGACTAGACTCTCACTGAGCGTGTAAGGACACCCCTCCCCCCCAGGGCTATATAAGAGAATGTTTATAATCTAATCTAGATTTTTTTGTAATCACAGATACTGCAGAAGATGGTTGTGGGTGTAAATGTTTGTAGGACAGAGTTCTTCAACAGGGCAGGCCAGGCCAGGCCAGGAATTTGCATAATCCTCTACATCGCACGGATTGTTTGGAATCGTCATTGCTGTGAATCCCTGACATAAGGGAACCACCCATAACTGTAATCCTCTCAGGATGCTGGTCCACCCTGGTGACCACATCCACCAGAATCACAAATCCCTCTGTACCTTTGCTCTGGGGTGTGGTTAGTGATGCTTGAGTGTCAAAGACCAGCTTTGACACCAGGGTTGAACTAAGGTGGGTGATTGAAGTAAGACAGCTGCCAAAAGCTTGTGGCTCCTGGCAGTTCAGCTCTCCTTTTGCTCTTCTGGGGCCAGAGCTCTTGGCTTCTCACATTTAACTCTCTTTTACTGTACTGGGGCTTCTGGCAATTGACTCCTTCTGGTAGCATCAGGGGACTGCAAAAAGAAACTTAGGTACTTGGGCTGGTCTTTCTCTGTGACCAACAAGAAATGGTAAGCTCTTTTAACTCTTTAGGGGCTGGTGAGAAAGAAAAGAGAGAAAATCATGTATCATACACACTAGATGAAGCAGAAAAGGGGCTGCAACAAGTTTTGTTTTTGTTTTCAGCATTTATAGCTTTCAGACAAAAGTTCTCTATGTTAGGAAAATTACCTCACAGATAAAATGTTACACAAGAGGAAATTGCAACACGATGTTGATAATAAGTTGAAATCAATAGTTTTAAATATTCATATATAACTCAAGCCTTGCTTTATCATGGTGCACACCTGTAGCTTCATCCTTGGACCTGACCTAACATGATTTTTTCCCTTGACCATAAATGTGTCTTAAGCCTATTTCTCTTCCTAGTGATACGTACATGCTTGGAGTGAATGAAAGCTCATTGTACTTCTTTACATGCAGCCTTTACTTACTGTTCCATAAAGATGGGGCACATGCTAGTCTTTACTCTAACTTCATTGTCTTTCTGGGAAAACAACTAAAATCATCTCCTCAGACTTTCTATCAATTATTCTGATTTCCTAAAATTATTTGAACCAAATCAAGAATACTATAAAATCATTAATTCATCTAAACAGAATTATTATGTGAAAGTACAACTTTATATTGATTCTGCAGGAAATCTGCCCAACAGAATGGGTTAAAATCCAGGAAAGAGTAGGTTAGATATATGAGGGATACAGCAATGGCAGGCACATCAGCTGCAAGAGGCAATCCTGAGACAAAGTCCCTGGGGTCTATGCCCATTCAGAGCACACCCATCACAGCTATGCAAAGTTGTGTGCCACTCCATGAAGCTCACTTACTTGCCACAGCCTTTCCTTCATTGCTCTCACAAGTTGGAACAAGGATGGGTAGAATTACTGATGTCTACAACTCCCCAGCTCACTTAATCCCCTGTGAAGCCTGGCTGGCTTTGTTCCATCAGCAGAGCATCATGGGATTTAAACAGTGAGCAGGATGGACTCCACTCAGAGTATCTCCTGATCGAGAAGACTCAGGTAGCTAATTGGTCCCTTCATGGTGTTTGTCCTAGCTGAGAAGAAAGAAAAGGTTCATATAAACAGATGAGATTTCACAGGTAAGGCAGTGGCATTAAGTTCAGGGGCTGTGGTAACTGGCAGGAGTTCTTGCCAAAGCCAAATGGCTACCAAATTTGGGAAAATTTACATAATGGTAAGAAAAACATGATGTCTATATAGAAAAATCAAATGTTGTTTAAAACCAATGTTAATACCCTCACAAACTGTACAATCCATTGAGCAATTACTTGGTTCAATAATCCCTTGTCTTCCTAGTCTGCACTCCTCTGTCTTACGTTGTGTTATCTTTCTGACTTTTGTTGTGATACCACTCTGGCTTGTGTTGTGTTTTATTTTTATGCTTCTATCCCACCCAAAATTTCACTACAAATAACATTAGAGAGTCACTCCAATGACACCTCTCCTTTATAAAAAGAAAAGGAGGATATGTGGGACAATGGGCCATGCCAGGAAACTTGGTAAGGTAGAATGTGTCTGAGACTTCAGAAACTCAGTGGTTACACACCTGAGAGAGATGGTAGGTGCCTCTCATTTCCCAAGTTGGTCAGGTCATGTAGCCCAAAACAGAGTTCTCCATACTAATGAGGTACCAGAGGCCCCAAGGGTTTAGGCAATAAGCTTTCCTTCCTGGACATTCCTGCCTGCATAAAGTATTTAATCTCTGGTCCACCCTGAGAAGTTGGTATGCATCCACTTTCCATGATGAACAGTCAATAAATGGTATAGATAAACATGGACTGTCTTTTTCATCAAGAAACACTGTGGGGAGCATGCAGAAGACCTTCAACTACTGAGCTGCTGCTCAAGGGCTTCTCTGTTCTTGGCTCTTCTGCTGCTCCCAGTGGTGTGTAGGTGTCCAATAGTCTGAGAACCACCACAACTCTGGCCTCATCACAGGCCTGAGGACACTTGGCATTTTGACACGTTGTTTTGGGTTCTCTGTGCAGGTTTTCAGCAGTGACTGGAGGCTCAGAAGTCAGGAAATACCAGCTTCAGCTTTCCCACATTTTAGACTGTATCCCCCTCCCCTTAGCCCCAAGGGGTGCTCAGCATTTCCCAGAATCCCAGCACCTGACAACCCCAGCATG